AATGCATCCTCCTTTGATGTAATTGATAGTAACAAGGATCTGGCTGTACCCAAAAAGCTGCGTGAGAGAATAGAATCTAAAAACCAAGACATGCCTCGATTTCCTTCTGACGAGTCAGACATCAGTGTGCTCCAAACTCTGCAGACTTTTGGTATACAGGAGCTCTTAGAGTCACAGGCAGGGGATTGCTACTCATCAGATGCAGCAAGAGACTTCACTCGCTACCTTCCTCGTCTGGAAATGCTTGAGAGTCTTGTGCTGGTTGGGACGATTCTGAGTTCAGACGCTATTTGCAACTTGGCGAAAAGTGCTCACAAACTCCCAAATCTAAAAAAGCTGGATCTCCGTCTGAATAGACAGTTCGATGACAGAGCCTTCGTGGCGGTAACACATTTACTGCTACGTCAGTGCAGAAAATTGACGGATCTCAGACTGTCTCTGTACGGAGTGAGAGGTACGGGATTTGATCTTGTTCAGAAGGAAATGGAGAAGGATGGCGAGGATTCGTGGGGAAGATTGAAGACACTGTATCTGTTGCATGGATCACCTACTGAGCAGTTTGTAGGATTCCTCAGCAACAGCTTAAAATACTTCTATTTTGTTGAATCTTTTCATATTTCAGCCACTTACATTCTACAAAGAATAAATGACAACATTCAGCGGGAGTTCGAACAAACTACAAAAAATCCGAACATCATGCCAAATCTCCAAGACCTCGATATCAGCAACATGGAAACATTAAGGGCAAGAATGGCGTCCTTGAAACTCCCTAAGAAGTACAAGGTACCAAGAATCTGGAATTTTTTTGCAGCTTGCTTGGACAACAATATAGTAAGCGAGATCGCAGAACCACCGTATTGAAGGACGGCCAGCGAGATTGCAGAGTCAGTCACTGACACGATAGACAGTGCAGCGGGTGCCGTTGCAGGAGCTACGGCTGTTGTGTCGATGCCCATAGACACAATCACTTTAGTGCCTGAATGATCAAGTGAATGGCAGAGAATAGATTCATAGTGAAACAGTTTGAACATTCCCTTGATACTTGCATTTTTTATGTTAATCATTTTTTTTAACACATAAGAGAAAGATATTAAGAAAACGCATAAACAAAATACATATAAAGAAAGACATAGCTGTGAAAACACATAAAGAAAGTGGCATTCTGTAGGCCATACACCCGCATTTTTACATTGGACTTTTGTTTGTAAAAATCGACATACGAATGAACAACGGATGCATTCAATATTTTTCAAACAAATATAGCTAATCTGGTGTTGTGTCGGGGACTTTGGTGGTAACAAGATCTACGCTTATGGACAAATGAACAATCAAGACCAGTTCCTTGCCGGCGCAACAAGATACCAGTGCCTTTAAAAAAAACCGACTTCTAAAACCCTGTGCGTTGATATCCGTATGCTTAGGCAAATGTGGGAAAGTATAAGGAATGCCTATTCAGTCAAAAATAAACAGACATAAAACAAAATCCCCACAGCAATTAAATGACCAAGTGTATCCAAGTAACTCGATCAATACAAAAATGACTCTAAACAGGCATTGGCGGATCCAGCGGTGGGTGCAGGGGGCGCACGCCCCCGGCAAATATTTTAAAAAGTATACTATCGGTGAAAAACGGACGGTGATCCGACGGGCCACGCATTTTGAGTTTGAGGAAGAACAGGCGTTCAAATGGCGGGGCAATTTTCACCCACCTCCTAAGACTTTATGTGCGGGTTTTGATGGCCGCACGATACGCGGATAAAATCAGGGTAAAACAAACTGTAGTGAAGTCTTATTTCGCGTATTTTTATAGTCTGGTTCCTAGACCAAAAGATTCCGACTATTCCTGATGAATCTTAGGTCCGGTAGCCTCCGGTAATACATTTTATTACAATCTACTTCACGTGACTAAAACGGAAGGAATTGCTGTCAGGATAGGATATGGCTAGATTTTTTTTCTTAAAAACGGGAGTGGCTGGGTGGCTGTTGATATGAAGGGGGTTGAGTGAGTCATCATCTGGACATTTTAAAAATCCACTATGCCTTATTATGCATTCAAAGTCAGTTTGAGAATAAATTTAGGAACTTTAACTTTCTGTTTATTTTTGGAGCACAGCTTTTTTTTTAGTATCATAGCATTAGTCAGCGGCTGAGCAACCTACCCTCGTGACCCCATGACCCGTCTTTACTTTACTTAATATATTTGTAATCTTCAAGATAAAAGTTGCACCAATGTTAGCTTTTTTTCCCCACAAGGAAATTAGTTATGAGCCCAAGGATATTCGCAATCTGACGTTTTAATGCTAACTATATTCAAACAATCTAGTTATTATACAAATATTGAATGCTTCGAGTGGTGTAGTAAAACTAGCCTCCCAAGGTGATCCATGGACCATTCTATTTTTCCGAGGCGAAAATAGAATGGTCCACGGATCACCGAGGGAGGCTAGTTTTACTTCATCACGAGATAAAGCATTCAATATTTGTTTTATAACACTTCACCCACAGATTCTGCTTGATTTTAATATTTTACATTATTTAAATTTGAACACTGTTGAAATAAACTTCAATTTCAATACAAAATTGGTGGAAAATGTATTTCTCTCTAAAAAACTACCCCTTCACGAAATGTTTGGACCCAAGTCTGCGGCGCGCTCTCTTTGGAATAATACGCGTTACGCACAACGCGCAACGCGCACACCAGCATGCATTTGCACACAAATACTGCGCCGTGGAAATAGTACTTTGGTTGCTAATGGTATAGTACTTTGGTTGCTATGCGCATAGTAATTTGGCCGTGCACAGAAAGATAGCAAAATTAGAAAGTAACATGTGACTCGCTCTCGGCCAATCAAGACACAGAATCTGTGGGTGAGGTGTTATAAAACTTTATATGGAAGCACGACTGAGGTCACAATACACGGAAGCAATACAATGCAAAATATAAAATTCTAATTTCTTAAATATTTAAGGAAAATTTAAAAAATGAGTATGAAACGAGTGACAAACCATGGTATAAAAGAAAAAGGAAGCTTGGGTAATGGTGCGATGTGTTGACAAAATTATAGTCTGCTGTTTAAAGCCTATAAAACAACATATAATCAGTAGTGTTTGGCTTTAAGGGTGTTACTATATTGCTTGGTTATGTAATTCTCGTTTTGTATTTAAGCTTTTGAGTTATTGATTATATTATACCTTCAAGTTGCTCTCCGGTGACATTTTGAAGTTTCACTCAAATATTTAGATTTCAATTGTTTTGGAATAATCAATCTGAACAATTAAATTGTGCAGTCCAATTGTAACTAAAATAACTTACTTTTGTCGGAGGTGCAGAGACACTAAAAATAAACCTTTTCGCAGAGGTTGCCGATGTCCAACATATAGAAAAGTGTTTTCTTTAATATAAACACGCCTTTATACCAATAAATTGAACAAAAAGAAACTAAAGTCTATATTTTGTTCAGAACAAGAAGAGAGTAAGTTCAATTTTGTTTTCTGTAAGTACGTTTCCATGTATAAAGGGATACTTAATTATGTCAAGTGTAGTCATCTCTTATTTAACATCGTTAAAACACATTTCTTTCGATTAAGTTGATGTTTCTTACCCGCAGTTGTTGTATTTCTACTGTCATTACGTTTTATTGACCTCTTTGGATTTATTTTACGGACAATAGAGCAGGTTAAAATGTAAAATTCATATGAAGAAGCAGAACACTGCAAAAGGGACTTTTAGGAGGAAATGAAAATGTCTTTCCTTAGAAAAGATTTAAGTGCTAAAATAGAAAAGCCTAATAAACTCAAAATAGACCTGCCGCAGCTGCGCCGTCACTACGCCCACACTAAGCTCTGCTCGCTTTTGATACTTCCTAGTAGCTCGCGTCACGCTCTTTATCCGACCAAAATTCGCCCACGTGACGTCACTTGCGCTTGAATGAACGGAAACAATCAAAATACAAAATGCTTAACCCATTAATGGTTTAAGGAAACAAGAGGGTAAGAAAGGTTTGATCTTTGCATATTAGGAAATGAATCAGGTTGACGGTGCATTGTGCAAACACTATAATAGCATGCTGCTTAAATTAACAAAAATTAAAATACTAGTTTTATTTTGCTGCAAGTGTATGTCAGTTGTATTGCCCTTGTAGATAAGATAGTTTAGACTCATATATTTAACACAATACGCTAAAGTTGCTTTTTGGTGATCTTAAACTCTACCTAGGGCTTAAATCTGAAGTACTGAAGCTGTAGTAAAATACTAGCAAAGTAGTTAGGTTCTTAAGACATAAAATGCTTAAGTGTTAAGTACTAAATTACTAAAGTGTTAAAGTACAAGAGTCTTAAAGTACTATAGTAATACATGTACAATTTATATGCATTAAAATTGTCGGTATTATAACTTTCTACTTAAACGGTAATCTTATGCTATTAGAGTCTGAGTATACTTTTTAAATCAATAGTAGGTTCCATCTTATGAATTGCTATTTAAATTAAAGTTATGAACAACTATAACTTTGGCGAATATCCAAAGAATTCCAAATATTGAGCGCTAATGTAAGCCTGAGAAAAAAAAAGTTTAGGAAAAAACGTAAAAAGGACAAAAAAAGTAAACACGTTTCAAAACGCATGGATATTTACTAGATTAATTTAAGTATATTTGATGATGTGATATATGTTAAAGCTTACACAATGAATATATTGGGGAGTTTTATAGGGAATTGTAGTGTATAAGAAAGAAATAAAATTTGCTGGAAAAGAATGGGTGTCATCCTCTTAAGTTCTTTTTCATGAAATTTCAGCAACAGAAAAGCGCGTTCAATTTAAAAAAAATATAAACTCATGTTTTCAAGGCCTTTGTTTGGTCCGTGTACGTTTCCTATATTTCTTTTTCGAATCTAACACGAAAAACGAATTTGAAAAACGAACAACTAATCTCGAATCGTTTTCGCTACGTACGGGCATAACAGCTTGACGCAGTTGAAAGAACACTAGCTGGTGTCCATTGCTCAGTTGTCATCAAACTCGGGCCGAATTGCACTCAAATTCTCGTAACGCACTCGGCCAAACGAAAAATAGGTCTGAAAAGTAAATGAAATTAACAATGTCCTTGTTATGTGCATGCACATACATAGTGGTAAGGGTCTTTTATTCGACCTCTAAATATATATTATATAAACTCGGATGTTCAACATTTATACTAGTAAATCAAAAATTGTGATATCAATTGCAATGTACATATGAATATTTTGGTTTATTTTCATGTAACTAAATAATCTAAAAGGAAAACGTTGGTGCGAAATTGAGGTTATACTTACATGTTGAATTTTGCTGTCACCCATGTCACTTAGGGTAGAAACCAGTTCAGAGAAACTTGGTCTTTTGTTCGGATCCTCTTCCCAGCACTTACGCATTAGGGCGTAACTTAAAAGAGTAACAAAGAAATCGTGTGAGTGAAGATCGGTCTGTGTTTTTTTTTTAGATCCCTTGTTAGCGCATCATGTAGACACAAATCAAGTGAAAGGAGACACAAATCAAGTGAAAGGAGATTTTTGTGGGCACATTATAAAATGTTTGGGCATAAACTAGTAACATGAGGATAAAATGTAACATCTAATCCTTGTGCATCACCTCAGCGCTAGGTTTTCTACGATTTAAGAAGGGCAGACAATATTCCATTTACCACCGCAAAAAAGTAGATTATAATAACATTGTGTAGTCTTTGATGAATTACGTTAGTAATAATTTTGCCATAAACGAAACTGAAAAGTTGTCAAACAGGCAGAAGCAGGCCTACTGGAAGTGCCTTGTCCTCATAATGTGTTGAATTCGGCTACACCTTTCTGTCCACAAGCCTAAGAAACTATTTACGTAGACCGTAACCTACATCATATGCTTGTGGTCATCAAAAGGGTAAGTCGTTGGCAAAAAGTATGGCCTATATGACACATATAGCTTTGTCAAGACGCGCGAGTCAGCTTGAATTTTGACAAGCAAAAGTGCTGACACTCGATGTTTATTAAGTTGACATCTTACCTCTTGTCGTCACAGTTGCTGGGCTTGGGCATACGGTATCCTCCCTTCAGCTTCCTGGCCAGTGACTCGCTCTTAGTGGTCGGATAGGGGGTTCCCCCTTCACAATATAAGTTTAATACGATTTAGATATAGCGAATAAGGAGAAAGATAACACTTATAAAGATCATTATCAAATTCAAGTTGCCTTAAATCATTTGTTGACACTTGTCTCAATTTTATTGGGCCTAAAAAGGGCAGGATTTCTTTTAAAGCAGAATATTTCTCACCAATTGTAGATATCTCCCACAAGAGAATGCCAAAAGACCACCTGATGATGAAAAAAAAAAATAATTAAAAAAATGCAGTTAATGTCCTAGGTGTTAGCCTAGCTTGATTCATCCCCAAAATACCTCAATTCTATAAACAAGGTTCTTTGTACTTACACATCACTGTTTGTCGTGTACCTCTTATACCTGATTGACTCAATAGCCAACCAGCGGACTGGAAATCGTCTCTATAATGAAAGGCAGAGGAATATACAACGCTAATATTTGTAAGTTGTTTTTTTATCAACTGGGACATGTTCTTGCAAATATGATCCATGACATGACACACACACACACACACAAACCAGTTATCACCGTAGATGTTTTGGGACGAAGACTGACAAAGGATAGTTGTTTCTGTCACAATGCATTTGAGGAGCTTGCAACCTCACTTTACACTAAAGGATTGGGATTGGCTTGTTACTGACACTGTTTTAGTGAATTGTGATTCAGTAACAACTGACTCGTTTACTGATTGACAATACGAGCTTTTGAGGAGTTGTAGGCACCCTGTTGGAGACAATTCCTTAATAACATCAAATGAATGCAGTATACCGATAAGTGCTCAAATTCACCAGTAAAAAAAAATACCTCATTAACATGTGAGGTAGCATTTGTTGTTTTCGTGTTCAGTTTAGTTCAAAGATACTACCTTTGATGTTTGGACGTAGATATCCTCCCCTCTGGACAGTCCAAAGTCTGAAACCTTAGCTGTCAGCCCTTCAGATAGTAGGATGTTCCTGGCAGCCAAATCTCGGTGGATCACCTTTTAGGATTAGGAACACAATATTAACAAATGGTTCTAAAACCATTGGAGGTGTTCTTTGATTCTTCTTGACGACATTCCCTAATAAGATTTGGTTCAGACTTAAACCAGGACATTTTTTTTCTGGTCAAGACAACACCTCTCTGTATTCCATTCCTCAGGGCCATTTGTGACTCCAAACCTGATTTTTTTATCAAAACAATGTCATTTTGACATGAAAAGTTGTCATTTTCACCCGGAAGAGTGTCCGGTCAGGTCTGAGCCAGACCTAATGTCAAATCTTCTCTTGAACGTTCAAGTGAATAACCTAAAGAGAACCATTTTGACCAGGAAAAATGCCATTCTTTACCCTGAAAAGTGTCAGGTCAAATGTAACCCACATTTGCAGTCAATCATCCTGCATGTGTAAATATGAAAACCGAGCCTTTCCTAATCAACATAAAAAAAATGCAAACATGCGATGGCTCCTTACCCCCGCTTTAGCAAGGTGTTCCATTCCCTTGGCAACATCCAGGGCAAACTTCACCAGCTGATCGGAAGACAAGGCATCCTCGTCTGAGTCTGACTGTGAGCGAACCGTCCGCAGGTAGCTGCGCAGATCACCGCGGGGAAGATACTCCAACGCGACGTACAACACCTCTAATTACGGAGAAATATGTTTCCGGGGTCAAGGTCAATCTTAAACCATTTACAAACTTAAGCTGCGGACCACCTCCTGTGAAGCTACTGGGAACGACAATAGATCGATCAATTAAACCACGCCCCATGATGGTTTGACCAGAGTGATGATTGATGTCGGACATGCGGGCACGTGTGCATGGCGCGCGTTTGGAATGTCAGAAACACACATATTGATGATGCCAACCTAAGCAGTACGCTAGGCCCACTGGATACAGTAAGTCTCACGTACAATTCCATTGGTTGTCAGAGCAGATTCATTTTTGTACAGAAAATATAAAATTACTCAAAATATTTAGCAGGTTCATTTTGATAGAAAGCACAAAACTCAGCTTTGTTCTACTTTATCAGAAAGTAGATTACCAAACTATAACAAATATCCACTATCTCAATTTCAAATGTGTCTGTTTTTTTCCCAGTCAGTTTGTGTCAAAAATATTTATATGACAACAAAACGAATCCATACGCCGATGCTGACATGCGCCGAGCAGCAAGACGACATTAGGGTGGTGGTCAAAAGAGGTCAGCGTGTGGAGTTCATTGATGAAATCATCTCTCTCACTCGTCGATGCATGGCCTGTTTGAGAAACACAGTGTTTAACATTTTAAAAGTATTTTGCTGCGAACTAAGTGGCACAAACTTGCCGTGTATATTCGAACTGTGATTAGAACAGACCAACACATGAGACCCCGCCCAATGCATTACATGCGCATATATTCATGTCGGACATTTATGTACGGTTGTGATAGGATTAAAAGACATTTGAGCGGGTCTTAATTGTCCGTGTATTGTCATGAGGCCTGTGTAATGTATATATTAACCTCACATTATAAGTAGTTATGGGTTACCTTTGAGCATCTTGATCGCAGCCCTTGTCAGTTCTCCATCTTTCATCACACCACCTGATCGCACCTCGCCAAAGTTCCCACAGCCGAGGACTCGCTCATCCATGATGAGGTCGCAGCGAGGCACCTTCCACCTCTCAGCCCAAGGGGGTAGAATGTTTTCTCCATCACCACTATCAGGTAGCATTGGTGTTTTCTCCTGCAGATTGCTGGTATCTTCGTATGTGTGTGCAACATGCTTGGAAATTCTCTTCTCGTATTTGTGTGGGCCTTGTGGTGCAATTTTGTCCTCGTAGTTTTGTGGACCTTGCGGTGTAATTCTGTCCTCGTATTTGTGAGGCCCTTGTTGTGTAATTCTGTCCTCGTATTTGTGTGGACCTTCTGGTGCAATTCTGTCCTCGTATTTGTGTGGACCTTGCGATTTAATCGTGTCTTCGTATTTGTGTGGACCTTCTGGTGCAATTCTATCCTCGTATTTGTGAGAACATTGCTCTGAAATGTTGTCCTCGTATTTGTGCGGACCTTGTGGTGTAATTCTGTCCTCGTATTTGTGTGGATCTTGCGATGTAATTGTGTCTTTGTATTTGTGTGTTCCTTGTGGTGTAATTCTGTCCTCCCGTTTTTGTGGATCTTGTGGTTCAATTCTGTCCTCATATTTCACCTCCAATGACTTGCCGACCTCTGATTGATCTTGTCCTAAAGTATCCTGGTCCGAAGCAACATCCTTGAAATAAAGAAATACAGAAAACAAGCAAATATTTGTGTGATACAAATTAGCCAGCTTTCCCTCGGTAGACTGGATTTAAGGCCATTTAATAAGCTTTTTGGAATTAAAGTTGATCAGAAATATTTACAGACATGTCAAGTCCTAGTATTTGAACAATTTACACTTTCTTGGAAAGACTTGTTTTATGCTGTTTTACACATAAATTGCTTCAGTTTAAAGTTACTGAATTGTTTCTCTCAAAATTTATTGTTTGCTTTCGTTTGATTATAATTTCATGTAAACATGTCCCGGATGTCTTCTCATTTTCAGGGCCTACCCCTTTGTCCACTTTTTTTTTCTCCTAGCAACTTTCATTTTCCAACTGTCATATAAGACATAAACCTGTTTAATAATCGCGTGACAATTATAATTACACTCCTACACACAAACATTTTGGGGTCATTTTTTTTATTTCCCTTCTTCCTTTATCAATATCTCCAATTTTAATTTGTAATCAATCAGCAAAATAAACGAAGGCTCACCGTTTCGACTGATAATCGCACGTCACGTTTGATCTGAACACTACGCTGTTCTCTTTGGTTCCTTAGAAACTTGACGCACATCACGATTGCCAAGACAACCAATGTGCTTAGACAACTGACAACAGTTACTATGACGATCAACACTCCATTTTCACCTTTGGAGAGAGCATTGTTTTAATTGAGTAACGAGCAGGTTCTTGTTTCAATTGATAATTTAAATATTTTAACGACAAATCAAGGGATTTCTTTGCTGACCCACTCAATGTCCCCAACAAGACTTGAACCGGAATCCGGATCACATTTGACCCGATATTCAGGTCCAAAGATTGCTTTGCTTAACATAATGAAACTTTTGTCAATGTTTTAGGGGCTTAAAAAGTGCATACAATAGTTATTACCACCAGGCTAAGTCTCATTATGACTCTGATAGGTATCAGGTAAACTCTGACCCAGATCTCAACAAGGAAAGGTATAAAATGACTGTTTCTGACTAGGTCAGCCATCAGAATAATAAGCTTATGGTATACTGTTATTATCAGTTCATCCGAGGTTTGCCATAAAGCATCATAATGACACGCCTATCCTTAAACAAATGTTCACAGTCAGTTGCCGTGTCACGCGTAGCTATACATTTCTCGCAACACAACTGACAGCGAACAACGGCCGTATAAAGGGATTCACAAAATTCGCAATTTTCATGGCAAACCATAACCGATCCATGCACATAAAGCTGTTACTGGTAGTTATATACCTTATACATACATCTATCAAGGTCCCCCCCCCTAAAAAAAGATTTCGATGCATTTTGACGACATGTTTCCGGGGTTTTTTTTCGACAGCGACGAAATTAGTCTCCCAATGTTGAGTTGATCATAGGAAAGAATAAACCTTTGTGCAACAAATCTTGTGAATGTGATGTCGTCAATATTTTAATAATTCCATATACACCTGAAGTTTTCAACAACCTCCAATTTTTTTACAACGCGAAAGATGGTCGCCAGTTTTCAAGCAACCAGAAATGGTGACCTTGTGAACCCAATAAAAATGTACGACCACAGATTGGTCAAGCTTCAGATGGCCTGCTTAATATTCATTAACATTCATTGCATGCAGTTCACGCGTGCTTTTCATTTTTATTTTGTAGGCCATCTTACGTAGGAAAGCATTACAGTTTACTCGCAAATCGATAGAATCTCGCAAAAGTCTTCATTTTCAACTGGCGAAAATCCTAAAAGAAGTGTCCACTATCCTGTACGTACTGAAACTTGCCATTTCTTTCGGTCTTTTTCAAGAATCGAATGTACACGTAAAACTATCGGCCCTCGCTTTTGCTGCTATATGTATATATATATATTTTTGACGCGCCGTAGCAACATTTCAATTTTGTCAATAGCAGTTAATAAAGCAATAAAGCACACGATTTTAAGTTTTCACTAACATCGTCATCTTGGGCGACAGTGGTACATTCGAGTAGTTGTCAGTGTTTTTTTGTAGTCTCGAATGCAGTCTCGTAAAATCTGGCGTAGTCATTTGGGCCACGCGTGCGTGATCCCGAGATAAGAAGCTGAGGCCGAACAGGGCTCTGCGTGTGACACGGCCACTGACTGTTCAACTCTTCTACATTTCAGATTGGGTTTGAGGTCACGATGGTCTCTATCAGGAAATTTAGCAGGAAGGAAACGGTAAATTTAACTCAATATGTTACCCTGAGACCAATAAAGAAAAGCGCATGACAAGAAGTTTCGACTATTCAGTCGTTTTGCTTTCTCTTTAATCAGTGTGTCATAAACAAGGAAATGAGTCATACAGTTTTCAGAAGAAAATAAGCCTGATATAAGATCGAAAGAGATACCATCTTTCACTCCCCCCCCCAAAAAAAAATATCGATAGATACAGTGTCTGTATTTTTTATGTTGCAGGAAAATTGATGGGTGTCAAAAAATGCCCTGCTGCCCTGAACTGTTTCTTGCAATATTATAGATTTTGTCATTGAATATCCACATTTTATCGAACGCAGAAATATATCTAAGATAATTCAGAGCTTCGTTTGATGAGTCCTTTCAATGTTAGCCTAAAACGTACACAGATATTATATCCCAGGAAAAACGAAATAAGTGAGACTGCACAATATACTCCGGCCGTGAAAGTCTTGCATTAACTGATCCCCTGCAAGAACTTAAAAATACGACCCCGAAAAATGCGACGGCGATGGAACACATGAAACACCATACTTTTGGTCAATTTTTCAGGGAAAGACAGAACGACCAACTGACCGACTACAAAGTGCCGTGTAGAAGATCCAGCCAAAGATTAGGAAGAATTTGACCACTTTTGATGTCGAAGCCTTTAACGTACACTGAGCTTCTAGTCAGTTGGCACATGAGAAAAAATCATCTTATATAATGCATTTTAGGGTACATTTCTTGAAAATTTCAGGAATTATCAGAGAAACGCTATTCACCCTAATCCACTTTTGCAATGCTCCGGTCCATCATTAGCTTTTTGTAGGTCGTCTGAAACCACTGTCGGTTACAAAGAGGATGATAAACTGGCCCTCTGTGACCAGCAAAAAAATAATTTGTATACAATACTCACCTGCACAAGACGTTATCAGCACTCTGGTGCTCAGTGACTGATCACTGCTCGTTGCAAGGCACGTCAGGTTACTTTCTCGAGTCTCGTTGCCAGGGTTCCCCACGATGTGCCAGCTGCTCACGTTGACAAGCCCAGCTCCGGTCCGTGCCTCGCTTTTAGTAGCGATCGTCTGATTCCCAAGCATCCATGTGAACTTCCAGACCCCAGGTCTGGCGTTTTGAATCCTGCACTCGAATTCACGCGTAGTGTCGGACTGGGCGCAGACGGGGCCATATTCGGGATCGTCTAACACAGCTCCGGTGGAGGGATCCAGAAGATGCAGAGTATGTTGACAATCTGACGAAGAATTTCCAAAGGAAAAAAAATACAAAACAACAACGTAACTGTCCATGAGAAGAAACATGTTTGTATTAAGGGTACAGCCATCCGAACAATGTGCTATTTAACGTATGGGTTATCTGGTCTATAGCCACATGCATAAATACAGGGGTTGGGTGGTGAGGGTACCCCAGAACTCTTCAAAACAATATTACGGTGGCGCTATTTTTAAACATACTGTCTGAAAATCATTTGGTTTTAAAAAAAACTTGGGGTTTTTATTTGACTCGTACGGTCATTTTCTGTGTCCAACCATGTCTCTTCCATCTGTAAATCAGTTAATTTTTACCTAGGTAACTTCTGGCGAATTCATAAATTCGTCGATGAAAACACATGTCACCATGTTGTTTGTACATTTATAACATCCCGCCTTGATCACCGCAATTCTTTTCTATTTGGTTTAACCAAAGGTTTTGTATAACCCACCCTGTTGCATGCTCGGTTCATCTTCTCTGTCAAATCTGTCTCTGTCATATACTCAAGTCTATGGAAAATGACCGTTTCCCGGTAATTGCTATTATTATTATTATAGGTTTTCCCGGACAATTTCGGAAAATGTGCGTTTGAATTTGTAAAACATAAATTCAATTTGGCGCCGAGTTTGAGAACGACGTACATCCTGGTTTCATTTTCGTAATAACTAGCATTCAATTTCATTTTGCATCAATCAAATGAATGAATGTGCATAGCGTTTCATTTAAGGGATTACAAATACGTGATTAGGTTTTCGGTTTGACGTATGAGTTGCCGATTATTACGAATGTGCAATCCAATTCGCAGAAAATCGATTGTCTATTATGACATGGGCTTAATTGAACATTCTTTTTCATTTATTACAATTTAAATTCGCATTTTCTGCATTCAATTTAAATAAATTTTACAGGCCTATACAAATCATGATACAACTTTGATTCATTAATTAATCAATGTATGCCCTATTGATCATTAATGTGTTTGTTCTTATATACACAAAGGCCTATGTGAAATGTAGGCAAATGAAATGTGAAAATGATATAAATATGACCAATATGAAATCAATAAAAATAATCATGTAGCCATATTATTGAAACGGTAAAGGGACACATCACGTGCCATGTTACAGGATCTGCATGGGGACTTTTTGTTGGTTCATTGTCTTAGTTGTATTTTAATTTCTGTATGTATTTCTTAAGGTTCTCTCTCGTTTTATCAGTTCGATTGTCTATCCTTCAATGACCTGTCCACCAAGACATCGAGGGAGATATGTCTGAGAATGGTTGTACCAGGCGGTGGTGTCATTTCGCAGGTGTCACCTCTCCAATGTTGAGTGCAGCCACCTCCTGGAGACGGAGGGATCTCCAGACTTGCAGGTTCACACCAGCTTGGACTCTTGCGTCTTGGTCTCCAAATCTGTCCTGCCATTCAGGAAGCCCCAGCGTGCGCCATTTCCGTAGGATTTAAGAATGGCGAGTATGGGGGCAGCAACTTGATGGTGAAATTGCCGGCATCAGGGGGTAGTTGGGCTCGGATATGAGGACGAGCGTTGTCATATATCAGATATATGCGTTCGCCTGCCGGGAATAACATACCGCATTCTTGTACAGTCGTCGCTAAGAAATCCTCAAAAGTCGCTCTCGTCACAGTCTCTGATGATATTCTGTCCAACCTCACCAGAAATGGCAAACGTGATGTTGACTTGCTTGCCTCTCTGGCCATGGACGACACGCCTTGCTGGCTCTCCACGAGGAGCGCGACCATAAGACCGACGGGTCCATAAGTTATACCCAGTCTCGTCAATGTACACAGTGTGGCCAAGGACACCAACCTGAAGAAACCAATTTCCAAATATGACTCGTGCAACTAATATGCGTGGCTCATGCTGTTCTGGAACATCTTCCGCTAGTTTAAGAGTTAAAAGCATACCATCTAGAGTTCTAGCGATGGTACTAGTGGTAACGAAGGGCTTATCGGGAAGATCAGCTCGCAGTTGAGTATTGAGTTGACGCAAAGTTAGAAGGGGGTTGTCATCTAGATATCCTTGAAGGGCATCTCTCATGTCGTCGTCAACCTTCTGGTTTATGGGTCCTCCTTTCGGCAGCTTGTTACGACGACCATCCCGAAGATATACGCCAACGATTGATCTGGCCGTTGAGTGCTTGATGCCCAGCGTATCTGCTACCTGCAGATAGTCAGCGTCGTCAGCCTCAAAGGCATCGATGAGGCGATTTCGGTCAACGTCCGAGATTCGTCGGTATCTCCCTCTTGCAGCCATTATTGGATATTTAAGGACTATGTGAACTGAGACTCTTGGCTATATGATGCGATTGTGGCAAATGCTGAGCAGAAAAAGATTTTCTTAAGGTTAGGTTTTTATATAGGATTTATTACAATAGTTGGTATGTTTCAAAAGACTACACCTCTTGGTTTTAGCTCAATCATCATGAATATTCAAATATTCAATCATTCAATCAAGCTTTCCTCAAATGTTACTTTAACACATAAATGAATTCCAATGCTTGACCAGGCATACGTTAAATAACACTGCGAGGGAAATCGGCTGCACATTTCGCGAAAAAGATTGATGACAAATTAAAAGGAAAATAAAATTGCGGATGTGCCTTCGATTTCGCGCTAAAATGAAATGTCAATACACTAAATGCAGTGCACATTCGGGAAATCGTACGCTGATTTTTTACGACTGAATGCACCTTCACGGAAAAAGAATTATCATTTGTTAAATAGAAACAGAGATTTGGAAGGTTCATTCTATTTCGCACGAAAACGAATGCTTCTTTTACAAATTCGTGTACACATTTTCCGAAATTGTCCGGGAAAACCTATATTATTATAATTACACAGAAAATGTGGTCGTTTCGGAATGGCAATGCTACAATCATTGGCATAACGTGGTCATCCTGTTTCAAATTGCTCGGCCGAAGTGAGATTTAAGCAGGTGTTATTCAAAAGTGACTTAATTAGTAAGTATAGTCATGCGCAAAGAGATCTATAGGATGGCATATCAAGGACCAACAACAATACATGTTTAATCGCACAATGCAAAGTGATTGGTATAATAATGTTCGCAGTGATGTAGATGCGTCAACTTACCAACTATTGACTTCCCACAGTCATCTACTTTTAAGTTAACTTTCCTCGTGTAACTGCCTTGATCAGAGACCGGATTTATGAGCTTGCAGCTGTACACTCCCTCTGCTGCCGGCTGAGCAGTGATGGTCAAGTTGCAGGTCGTGTTAGATCCATCCCCGATGCGGTCCCTCAGGTTTTTGCACTTAGTTTTAACGTCATTCTTAAATAACCATTTTACACTGGCGTGACTGGTTGTAATAGGAGCGAACACTACGCAATTCAAAGTAAGCTCTTCACCGGTCTTAGCACAGACTTCTGATCCCTGGAAAATCTGTATCATAGTCTTGTTAACCGTATCCCCTTCAATAACTGAATAAAACAAAACATAATAACTGCTTATTTTCTGATTTATTTTGGAAATTGCAATGCAAGCATCAATTACAAGGATTGAACACTATTGAGTGTCATAGTGTTTCAACAAGGAACAAGTGTCCCCGCCCACCCTCGATAAATGATAAATTGATAATATGTTAGAAAAACTACATGGATTTTGGGGAATTATGTGCCCCGCCCCCTCCTAGCAAAAATCCTGGCGACGCCAATGCTCCAGAGTAAAATTTCACGATCGTTTCTGCGCATGGTGGGCAGTGTTGTAGTCGAGGCCACAACCTCCGAGGCCGAGGCCAAGGCCGAGGCCACAACCTTCGAGGCCAAAGCCGAGGCCGAGGCCACAACCGCGAGGCCAAGGCCAAGGCCGAGGCCACCACCTCCGAGGCCAAGGCAGAGGCCGAGGCCAGCTATCAAAACACGTAATAAAATATAATCAATAAAACCAGTCTAGGATTATGTTGGAGTTTTAACATCTTTTTAGTTGAATTCACTGAGTTTTGGAGTGCCTGGCCTTACAGCTTGCAATGGGTTTCCTCTTGTAGGGAGTCCAGCGAATTGTATCTTTTAAAGAAAGAAATCTCAAGTTTTGTATCACTGAAAGCAAATTACACAACAAAATCAATGGCGTTTGAATCAGGCTCATAGGTGTTTGCCCTTTGGAGATACAACAATTTAAATGGCCAAATTTTGAGTTTCTATTCTGTAAGATTTACATTATTTACTTTTAGCATGTTTATAAATCTTATTTTCAAAACCTATCAAAATGCTTAATATCATAGGAATCCCCATTAAATAAACAACAACTTGATTTTTCAATCAGGTTTTTACCACACATAACCAATTAAGTTACGACCCCCCCCCCCCCCCCCGACCTTCGCACAGTCCAGGCGCGCGCCGAGCAAACACCGCGATGCGACCAGACAATGCCAGACGGCCCGCCGTTACGCACGGGCAAAGCACAGTTCCAATCCCGCTCCACACAACGGTATAAGTGTCCACGCATTATCACTGTTAATACCGCGGTACCAGACAAAGTCTGGCCGGCAATGGCCAATCCCGCTCCAAACAACACGGCAACACGGAACATGCGTGCATGATATCACTCAGTTCATCAAAATGACCATGAATTCTCGGATCATCCGATTTGAATCCAATGGCTTCGAAGAATTTTAAGATCATGGCAAGAGGTAGGGAGTCCAGAGGTTTTGGCCGTATATCTGTAACCACGCAAAATTAGTCAATTTCAAACCGTGCTTATTCATGTAATAAGTATCAACATGGCTCTAAAAATATATATTTTTTTAAGTATCCTGGTACCACGAGGCATACTGACTCCTATTATTAAAACATTCATGCAGAACTTTGCATTCATTTGGATGGAAAAACGAATTCTGAAATCGAACTTTCCATATCGACCATTTGCGCCAAACATTACCGTGTGAGCCGGAACTTTCATTTAAATCACCGTGTAAAAATAAAATCTACTTGATAAATCGTAACTGTTTTTATCATATCTTTATGAAAAAAAATGGTACGGACTGGTACACTCGATCGTACCCAGAAAGTTCAGACTTTTACTGAAACAGTGGCCTATAAAAAGAAATGATTAAGCTTGCTGCACCTTGCCGCAAATCATTTTTAAAGGTCGGGGTACAGAGGCAAAACGAGACAATTTTGTACAACACTGCAACCAGACTAGTCTACTACCACATGTTATTGTACGCAGATGGGATTGGTGCCAGACTTATGTAGTCTGGCACGCAGTAACAGTTATAACGCTTGCACGCACTTGGAAAGCTGAAGTGCAGGCTAGGCGAAGATGCTACGTACGCGACTACGTTCAATGCAACCATTTCCAGTTCATTCGTGCGTACATTGTATATGCGTTTGTTTCACGGAACCCACTGCAGCAGAATCTCGAGGGTTTGATACGGTAAAAGAATAAAATTAATTAGAATGGAAAACACATCAAAATGGGCGGCCTCGAGCCGGCCTCGACCGATTCGCCGAGGCCGGAAGGCTCCGAGGCCGAGGCCAAGGCCGAGGCCTTGCACCTCCAAGGCCAAGGCCGAGGCCAAGGCCATGAAAATCGGCCTCGAGGCCGGCCTCGGCCGGCCAACACTGCTCCCCAACATTTTTTTCTCGGTAAAACAACGAGGAAGCTAATTGCAGGGGTTTCCTAAATGGCATGCATTAATGTACACTATTTCCAGGTCTATTTTATCAAAACTAATCTTACCTGCCGAATACTGCTGGAAAATCACAACAAACGCTAGCATGGATGCAAGGGCCATACCGGTCCGTACAGTTGATAATTTTTTTTAAATAAAACTGTACTTCTTTTAATAAAGTCCAACTGCAAACAAAAAAATACCTCGCAACTGCACATAAAACTTCAGCTGATGGACTAACTACACGCATATTGTGAGGTGAAGCATCACAATTGAGTAGTGGACGTGTTCACAAAACGAAACAATAATGTGCATGTTTTAAAACTTCCTTGTTTTGTTTTTACTCCCCTAAAAAAGTAAAACTATTATGTTTTGAAATTTCCACAATGATGAAACAAACAATAATTATTGATAAACTTATTTCCATTAAATAAAATGAAATAAAGTTATAAACGGGTAGATGATTGAAACGGATATAATTACAGAAGGATTAATGCTTGGGATTGCAGGATTTGCTACCATGCAAGGGCGTAAATCCCGGGGGATGGGGGTATATGTCCCCCCCCCCCATTTTTGACCAGGGGGGATGGGCTATTGAATCATCAGCACCCGCACCCACTTTCACGTGTTGAGAATAAAATGCGGATTTCGAGGTATTTGTCGAACAACTCAACAACGAAAATTATAATAGGCTTGGCCCAAGACCGGCTTTAGATCATTTTCGACTATGTGCAGTTGGTACATCGCGTGCGCTGGCAAGCACTGCCAAAACGACATCAATGGAGAGGGCGCTATCGACGAGACGACCTAGTCTGGTTCCCCGACCTGACAATTTCACCCGACGTCCACTCGTCTTAATTGTAGGTCAGGCAGCCTCCATGGCTAAAAATAAACATGACGACATTGACGGCCTATTTTCAAAGCTCGGCTTCGTTTCCGAATTCGCTTTAAGCTTTTAATGTTCCGATAATTGTTTTGGAAAATAATTCACTTGCTTCACATATCACACAGTTATGATAATACAGTTTGATATATCTGTAAGAAAACACTGACTAATATTGACCTGGAATCTTTAAAATTAGGCACCCAAATAGCACTGTTAGCAGGCGGAGCTGAATGAAAACGAGTTTTGGAAAATCTCAATAACGGTCGTCAAATTTAAAATAGTACGAACCAAAAAGTTCGCCCATACGATCTGAGTATATCTGATGCACAAAATCGTCGTTGAATTTCAAGTTTTCTAAATGAAAGCAATGAATATTAATTATCAACTCATTTTAAAACTTTTCTAATAAGCAATAAGCAGTTAATTAAAATTATATTATACTCAGAAATACTCGGGCGCTATCCGATTGTCGACGAAATGTATTCCGTAATCTTCGGACATTTTCGGATAAAGGAAGAATTCCTCCTTTTTTTAGTCAGGTGACGTAAATTGTAATACAATGCATTATCAGAGGCTACCTGACCTAAGATTCATCAGGAATAGTCAGAAACTTTGATCTGAGAACCAGACTATACGAGACGATCCAAATCCGGGTTTTGTGAATCTGGCAGGGCTCCCCGAAAATTTCCAAGACCGGTGTCACATGAAAATCCGACTCCTATGAAAATCGGACCCCTTTTCCCTATTATTGGTTAATCCCTCTCACGTGACCGGTCACTTTCCTAATTACCATACTTACGCATGCGCGTTATTACCAATGAGTCCGAATTTCATAAAAACGTAAATTCACGCTACACCGGACTCAGTTTATCTCGTCGAATGCGCCCTC